GCTACACAGAGATCATGTGAAAGGAGATCTCATAAGAAAACGACTCAAAGAAGGGCAATGCGACCCATAAGGCTCATAATAGGTCCTCCTATTATATAAGTCTTTGTGGTTGGATACATCAAACGTGGACCCAGAAGTTCGGTGGAAATAGAGTGCTGTAATGACGAAGGTGAGGCGCGCAGGGACGAAAACTTCTTTTCGTCGGCTCTTTCTGAGACGAGATGAAACCTTCATGTCACCCGACAATTTCCAGAAAAGTTCGGAAAATGAAAGTACACCTATTTATTCAAAGCTTCATTGAACGACGAATTTCTGATGTTCTTAGGTCAACATGCGCTCTGGCTGGAGAGAACTTTGCTATAGTAGCAAGTGATACCCGTATGTCTCAGATGGAAATCAACATCATAACCAGGGATGCCGAGAAAGTGCATGTTCTGTGAGTTCCCTACAGCGCTTATTGAAAAATGGTGTCAATGGCTTTCTTTCGTTGAGTTTCACTATTTCTTTCTTAACGACCTGAAAAAGGTTCGGTCGAATTTCCTCTTTTTTTTCGGGGGCGGAGGTGTAAGAAGATTTCAAGATTTTAAGTGATTTATTGTCATAGCGACGTCAAATTTTTGACAAATCCACTGTTTGCTACATTTTGTTTTTGTCACCTCAAAATGGATTGCTCGTAGCATCATCATCAGAACAATTTTGCTTCAATACCCTCAGCTATTTGATTAGTATTTGGCGAATCGCCACTAATCATCAACTAGAGAAGAAATAGTGAAGCTCACAGTTTTCGGTGCTACTAGTTTGTCAGCTATGTAGAAATATGATGCAGAAAAGTAGACAATGCGTCAAGCTTCGCTAAAAATTTGTAGGCAATTGCCTTTTCCTGTACTCTGAGTTAAGAAGTTCTCTTGCAGAAATGATTCTATAATCCTGGCAACTTCGGGATTCTACGGTGATGTTTTGCAGCTCAAGCGAGTGCTCCAGGTACTAGAAGTAACTAGCAATTATTGAAAAAGTATGTATTCTAATGAGTGTTTTTTAGTCCCGCCTTCATAAATATCGTTTCGACTACCGTACCGATATGAGTGTGGATCTCATGGCCGAACTACTGGCAAGGAATCTTTACTACAGGCGTTTCTTCCCTTATTACACGGGTGCCATTTTGGCTGGCATTGATGAGAACGGTAGTTGTGGCTGCAGTCTTATGTTTTCAATTGAAAAAAATGATCGTTGTTCACAGGAAAGGGAGCGGTGTTCAGTTACGATCCCATCGGATGTGTTGAACGGATTGCTTACTCGGCCAGTGGGGCAGCCGAACCAATGATGATTCCTTTTTTGGATTGTCAGGTATTTGTTGCTGGATTTGGATTCCGCTTTTATTTTATACTCCTTCTACCCATTTATAACCCTGTGAAATGGTGATTTCGTGTCTTTCGTTGTAGTCGTGCCGAGGGAATGCAAGTGGTGATTTTACGTCAGGTGACAGCAACAGTCACAATTTGGACCCCAAACTATGACGAAGGTAAGAATCTAGTCCTCTCGCATCTTGTGATCTGATCTGCAAGCGCTTCGACTTTCTTGTAATCAAAATGCCTAACGATACTTTTCTCACGATGGCAATTTGCTATCTGCCGTGCGTTGTTGCTGTGGTAAATTTTGATAGCGTCTGAATAGAGAGTTGTGTGAAGGAAGGAACAAGAACGGAGAACTTAAGGGGAATGTTCGTCAAATTCGCTCTGGCCGCATTACATGGGTTCTAATATTAGACTTCGCTGTAAGGAGAGTAAATTCGTGATCTTTGTGTTCCTCTAATGTGGAAGGCGAAAAAAACTAGCCCTTTTTTCCATTGTTCCCCCCTACCCCCCCCCCCCCCCCACATGCACACACTTTCGCCACCCTAAAATGTTCTCTTGTTTTTCTTCTTTGTACTGATTTAGATTTATTGATTTAATGAGTTTCACTTTGCAGATTGGGCATGTGACGTTGAGTGAGGAGGCTGAACGCCCGCCGCTTACACTGCAAAGAGCCGTTTCACTCATGAAGGTAAGAAACTTTTTTTCTTGTTTTTAGTCGAAAGATCATTACTGTATTCATTGGGGAGGGAAGGGACCTTCTCTTCCCCACTTCTGTTGTCGCTGCACTTCTAGGTACAGAAGTTGTAATAGGCTTATTTATATGCCTTTTATATGCGAGCACTATAAAGTTTTTATACAATCTGTATTGAGTAGTCGATCATTTAGGATGCTTTCCGCTCGGCAGCTGAGCGCGAAATTTCTACTGGTGACAAGATTCATCTCATAATTGCCGAAGCCGGAAAGCCTATCCAACAGCAGTATCTTCCTCTTCGTGAGGACTAGAAGAAATGTGTCTTCCTGGATCTTTGTCTTGTTACTCCTCTGATAAATTTATTTATTCTTGGTGAAAAATTTGCTAGCATGCTTCCCGAGTCGTTATATTCGAGTGTTCACTGACTGTTCTTGTATGGATTACTAGCCACTACCACATTTTGAGTATTTAACCAACGAAGAAAAAAATGGGTGCTACTGCGTTCAATTTCTTAATTCTTTTTTGATTCCAGTTTATGAAATGGAATTGTATGTGTATGAAGGAAGGCAAAGAAAAATGATACCCACCTTCAAAAGTACGTCAAACTAATTGCAAAATGCGTGTACATAGTGGGAGCACAGGAACCAAGGCCAGAATGCTGGCGATATCGGCGCTATGTTCTTCCCTATTTGTCCTTTCGAGGAGCGCTTTATCTCGCCCAACGTGGCCGCAGAATCAAGATTATGTCAGGTCTATGCAGTTCAAATGAAATTATTGGATTGTGATGAAAGTTGTTGCCGCTTTTGACATTTCAAGTTTAGAGACCCACTTTGGAAGCAGTGGTTGGTATAATGTTGCCACTTCCAAACCATTTTAAAGCGCGTTTCTCGCTTGAGAGTGCTGTCACTTTACTTCGAAGTAATTGTTCGCACTTTTGCAAGCTCTGGAGTGTAACATGCTCAAAAGTTGGATTCAAATTACTCAACTCAATTTAGATTGGATAGGGGACAGGTCGCTGTGCGAGCGCTGCGCTTGAATCCGATTCACGAAAAATGTTGTGTAGTGGGATTATACTTTGATAACAAAGGAAACTGGAAAATAATGGTTTTTATTTTGACGGAAGGCGTTTTTAGCGGCACGCGCTTATGTAGTTTGAGATTGAAATCGGTATTCCTTGCAATCTCACAGCTTCCATTACAGTACGATCATTTTCCAGACTGCCTAGGTTCGACAAGCCATAGCGAAGAAGAAAACATTCTTAAAGGTCGGCGGTCGGCGACTTTTTCCAGAAGTCGAGTGCGTGCCCATCATAGCACGATATGTTCGAGCTAAAGCCATCGAACCTAAAGGCACAACCCTAGCAGAAAACGTGTGAATACTTTCCTTCAGTCTGTAGGATAGATCCCTAGAAAACAATCTCACTTTGTCTTGTGCGGGAATATCCCAAAGGAAGAACGGTGACTCTTGCGAAGTAAGGCGCAGCTGCAATTTTCTTTTATTAGGCTGTTGTCTGGCGCCCTCTCATCTGCAGCGCTCTCTCGCTCCATACTCTCCTCTCCGCGCTTGGTATCTCATTGCCTTAAAAGAGCCGATTACGAAGGCGAGTAAGCTCTTAACCCAAGGGTTCTAATGAAATCTAATCTTTTCCTTTGCTTTCTTTACTGCCGGCCCATTTCGCATCAATACATTCGCATTCATGGGCAAGAACCACACCAATTTGATCCTGGGGCATGCCTTTATCTTATAATTAGCGACAAATGTGTTGCAAAAATCTCCATGTGACTGGAGCAATTTCGAGTGTAAAGAAGTGCAATTCTATGGCGCGATCAAACCATTCCCCCCCAAATATTAGGTCGGTCCATAATTTTTGAGAACCTTTGGTGTTTTTCGATTAATTACTTATCTTATTTCTCTGATGTACTTATTCAGCATAGTATACATCACCATTATTACCAACATATAACCAATGCGAGGGTGGGTATTCAGTGTCTCTCTTGTAGAATTTCATAGAGTTCTGATCGAAGAAATATTGGATGTCGATTTTGACTTTATGGTGATTCAAGTGAGATTTCTTCTCCAGAAGGTGATTGAGAGAGGAGAGCGGATAGTCGTTCGTTGACGCAGGATTAGTGCTACAAGGCGGAGCTAAAAGAACTGACCGCCCGAGAGTCTCCAATTTTTTAGGAATTTTCTTAGCAAGGCGGGCTCGAACGACCTCAGAGAAAAAATAGATTTTGTCTTCCTTTGCTTTCAAGTTGAAGGCGTTGCCATCAAGCTGTCAACGATTCTTCCCATCACTGACACTGGTATTAGTTGATGCCGGTCTTCAGCGCAAAGGCCCTCCCGTATTGCGCCAACGACTCAGGAAGTTCGAATTCAGAGGGAGTTGGGTTTGTACTGTCAGAACTCCCGAATTTTGAGCAAATCTACTGCGGCTCGTGGATTTGTTAGCACACTGCACCCAGTCCACATCACCAATGAGTATTATAGATGGTCATCCGAAGGAACTATAGGAAACCAACAGGAACTTGATGATGTCAGATTGGGTTGAGAACTGATTCGGGACTACAATTTTCCTTCGATCAGAACTCTATGAAAGTCCACAAGAGAGGCACTGAATACCCACCCTCGCATTGGCGATATGTTGTTAATAATAATGATGTATACTATGCTGGATAAGTAGATCAGAGAAATAAGATAAGTAATAAATCGAAAAACACCAAAGGTTCTCAAAAATTGTGGACCGACCTAATATTTTGAGACTGCGACAAATCTAACAAATTCCGAAATCTTCAATCCTCTTTGAATATTTACTACAAGCGACGGCAGTATGAGGATTCCAACAATTCCAGTGTACGGTTCGGAACTCCACACTCCGATCATCAAGTAGAGTGCTTGGGAACTGTGAATAGGCACTGTTGATGAGTATGTAGCCCGTAGAGTAACTGCCAATTGCCCTGAGCACGACCGTAGTGCAATCCCGGATCGGATCCCCGCTCAAGTCAGATCTCTCCTTCGTCTCTCTATCAAAATTTTCTAGCGCTAGCCGTTGCTCCTGTTAGAGCTCCCATCTGCCATTGCCCTTGATTAATAGACTCGTTCTATGAACTTTTCAAACCACTCTTGTTCTGTCTGCCTTTGTATCTTCTCTTCACTTTGAGTCCATAGCTTTACTCATGCTTCCTCGAGTGCATCCTGTAGCGGTCTCCAGTGCGCGCCCGAACTCATTGCTCGCACTCATCGGCACCCTTCAGCTGTACAGGCAGAGTGCATCAGCGACATGACGTCCTCGTGCTGTCTGTGTCGCTTTTCGTCAGTCCACAGCCCATTTGTCTCATTCACCTCATGTCAGCGAAGTGAAACCTCCCCTTATGATTCCTGTCCCACTTGACACCACTCGCTGTGATAAAGCATCGCAAGTCTACCATCACTCAGTGTACGTTGCCCTTGAGCGTCTGAAAGCATCGCCAGCTACACAGGAACACTTAGTGAATCCCCTCCAGCCTTCATTCCACAGTGCAAATCGTTATCCGGGCTTATATGGCCTCGTCCACATTACCATCGGCAGCGATATGTTCCCTAAATATCGGTAGTCAACTGCTCCTCCATTTCTCTCTCATGGTAGTCAATAATTGCCTCTGAACCCTCAAGACTTGGTCATCTGCGCCTAACCGAAGGCCACCCTGCCAACACCTACGCCAGTGCTCTCCCTCCATGGGCCTCTTAACTAACATCTCGAGTTACGATGAAGAGAACCGGTCTCACCATCAAAGTCGATGCTTGATGTACCCCAACCGTGAGGTTTATCTTCCCCGTTAGGTCATGTGGGGTGTGTTCTAGTAAATAAAAAGGTTAGGATTGAGCGAAAATTCCAGTAAGTTCCGTTCTCTGAGCGTCTTCAAAGCACTGGTCGAGCTAGATTATCAAAATTATTTATAAGGTTAAGGAAGGCTAGGTAGCAAGGTCGCGCTTTTCGATACTTCTCCATCACTTGCCTAGCGATGAAGATGGCATCCGTTGTAGACCTTTCGGGCATGAACCCGAACTGTTCCTGGGAGATCGGGACCAGCTCCCGCAGTTTCGAGTCGACCAGTCGCTCGTACAATCAGTCAACTTGATCACCGCGGTAGTTGGAGCACTCCGTTACCACCCTATTCATTGAAATGGGTACGATATTATTGTATGCACTACTTGCTCTCCAAGCACCCAGCATTCTCCCGTCCATAATTACCGTGTTTAGGAAGCGGTTGAGCCACCTTATCCCGTGGTCTCCAAGCGCCTTCCATGCCTCCACTAATACCCATCTGAACCTACTGCCTTCCCACCTTCATCTTCCCTACTACTCGTCGAAACTCATCCTCTGTCCTGTGTGCGATGAGACTTGCTGTCACTCCTATTTGTGGGACTTGCAGGGATACCCGCCGTTTGGAAGCTCAGTGAAGTACTCTCCATTTCTGCTTCTGACCTAGACTGGTTCCCCATAATGGTACCGCCATCGCTTTTCACACTTTGTACCACCTTGATGCCTTGAGTGGCCAGATTCCGAGCCTCATGAGTAGAGCCTGAAAACGAAATTTCCTGCAATTTGGAGTTTTAACATCTCACACAAGGTGTCCATCTCCGTGTTCTTCGTCTTGGCGACGGTTTATGGCGCCTTATTCAATTTCCCTGGTCTTGGCTCTCTTCTAGAGCGTTTCCCCCAGGCACATGACATTTTTCCGGCAGAACACCAGCTCAGCCACTTCTCCAGACTTCCCAGTTAGCGATCTCACGTTCAAAACCCAACTCCAATTGGCTTCTTTGGCCGACATCCGTTCAACCCTCGGTAGCCCTCACATACTGACCACAGACTCGGTGATGGTTCCAGCCAGGGTCAACCCTATCGTTGTTACTCTTTGGAAATTTTTTACGACCCCCCCCCCTTCATGGGTGATTTGATACGACCCCCCTTGTATGTGACACTTGTGTAGAGACAGTGTTTACCATCAATATTTATTTCTACGTAAGTCATCAAAGATGAAACTTTAGCAAAATCCACGACAGATATTCATCGCTGCTTCCAAACACGAAAAAATGAGATGCATTCAAAGATATCCGTGTACTCCAAAGGGTTACCAAACTAGGAGATGAAATAAACTGAACCAGTGACCGGAATATTGACAATATTACCTGATAAAAACTTATGAGAAGTCAGAAAAAATTATCGCTCCAATTGAAATACTGAAATCCTTCACGTTCTTCAATTGCAACACAATTTTTACACCCCTCTTTCTAAGGCTATAACTTCCTTCATATTCGAGCTTCTGCGCCG